TCTTTCCCTCATAGAGCCTACAATTTTATGGGGACGACAGTAAAAAAATAACCACAAAACTAAACAAAAAATTACAAACTGTGATATGTTCCATGAAAGTGCTTTGAGACTAAACTGGGGAAAGAAATTTAAATGAGGAGTCAAGAAAAACCTCTTTGAGGAACTGACATTTAAGCTGAGAGCTAAAGAATATGGGGAATTTTAGTTAAGTGAAGTATGGGAGAAAGAATATTCCAGACAGAAGAAGAGAGCTTGGCTAATCCTCAGAGTAGGCTGATAGAAGGCCAGTGGAACTAATGGGACTGTCAGGAAAAGAGTAACAAAGAAGCTCTGGAGAGGTTTTGGAGGACCAGATCTTATAAGGTCTGACAACGCATGTTAACAATTTTCAATTTTATCCTAGCATTTGAAGAGTTGTAAACTCGAGATTTTCACTTTTAAAAGATTGCTCAGGCTACTCAGTGGAGAAAGAAGTAGAGAGAAGAATGAAACAAATAAGTTATAGTGTTTTTAAAAATTCTTCATAAAAATGAAATTTATCCATCTTCACCCATGCTATTAGACTTTTCTTATTTTTGCAGATTGAAGAATTTACCATTCTCATTTACCAAACTTAAGGAGCTTGCAGCTTTGTGGCTTTCTGACAATCAGGTAAAAATTTTTATTACCTGATTTATTTTGTTTATTCAAATGAACTACAGTTGAAACTTTGAATTGCTAACTTATTCCCAATTGGTACCTTTGACAATCACTGCAAAATATAGATTATTTATCCCCTGGAGGAGAGATTTTTGTAAAGGTAATAATTCAAATAAGTAGTTCATTGCTGTGGACAAACAGTATTATAGTTCTCACCCCTTTTAAATGCTTCAATCTAGCTTCTACTTCATTCTCAGAGATCTAATACACAAAATGATCATTTTTCTAGGTGGTACATACAAGTCCTCAGAGGATGTACTTTAATTATACCTCTGAAGGTAAAGAATAAGAAATCATTATCACAATTCCCACAAGAGGGAATTATTATCCTCCATGTTCCTTTTGTGTGTGTTTGTGTGTGTGCTTTTAATTATAATCAACTTAATTCTAAAACTTTATTCAAAAAATTTGTGATGTCTTTTGTTGCTATTACCAGTATCTTCTGTGAAATTGCTTTGATATTAACTCTTATACTTATGAAAATAGATTATAATTGAATTAGTAATTGAGTGTTAATGAATAATTTTATTAACTGGAAAATAAAAAGAAATAGTTGAAGACATCTGATTTGCCACCAGAAAAACTGGTGATAGACGATTTTGACATAGTTTATTTTTCTTCTTTTTACTTTTTTCTTGTAATTCTAAAATTTTAAAACATCTTATCCCAAAATATGAATTACCAAGTGAAAACAAATCATCTTGGATTTAGTTTGTTATGATTATTTTCTGAGCATAAAAACAGCATTACTGGTAAATGAACTGTTCAGACATAGGTATTGGGCTACTTTTGTAAAAAATTAAAATAAACCTCTACAAAATGTGAAATATAAGTGTGAGAATAATGTTTGTATTTCTACAGTCATTACAGCACTGTCTTCCATCTACTAAAAAAAATTAGATTGTCAATCAAATTCAAGTCTTACCAATGGAATGTAGATTTTTCAAAGCATCAATATATCATTATAAATAAATCATTTCTGGAATCAACGTGAACTATGCTAATGGAACAGTATTTTCTACAGTCTTGCATTGTAAAAAGAACATCCCCTAGTGTCATGATTTATTATTTTTGTGGGAGAATGAACAGAACAGTGGCTGCACCATTTAGCTTTTATTTAGAACAGCGATTTAATGTGTTTCTGACTTAGTTTCATGAGACAAGTTGGTATCCCAAATCCCCTTTGTGCTTCACTCTTATTAATAAATGTCATGAAATAAGTATATTTTAAAACATTAAATAATATGATTATTTTCAATATGTTTATATAAAAATAGTATATAATATCAAAGTTCTAAAAAATACCTTCATAAATAGTATTTCTGAAATAAAATTAATAATAGAGAATTAAATGTTACCATCCATAGGTAAATATATTGTGATATATCAAATACAAGGATTGTTGCTTATGTGTATGTGGACCCTGTCTTTGGTTACAAAAGTCTTTTTAAAATAAATGCTTATGTTTTAACCTAATTAAATTCATAGATTATCTTGTATAATATAAATTTGATAGCAAATTCCATTTATTTTTTAGGGCAACAGTTCATGAAAATATAGGACTATACCAAAAGTTTACTTAGTTGAAACAGTTTGACACATTTTGGTCTCTTCAAGATCAAAACTGACATTACGCAATGTAGATGAATAGGTCTTGTAAAAGAATGTACTAAAGAAAAAGAAAATCTCATTATGAAAACCTTAGAATTTCAAAATATTCCTCTACAATAATAGTCTTATTTTATGTTATACTTTCTTATTTCATTACCTTTTTCCTTACTTTTCTTTAACTGTTCATTCAGCACAGTGCGTCCAGACTATTGACCTTTATGCTATATAAAAGAAATATTCTTTATACTTCCAATCTTATTAATCTAATTTATGTCCTTTGCTTCCAGTCCAAAGCCCTTATCCCTTTACAAACTGAAGCCCATCCAGAAACAAAGCAAAGAGTATTGACTAACTACATGTTTCCACAGCAACCTCGTGGTGATGAAGGTAAACAGTCAGTAGAAATTTCTCCTATGCTTGTATGATTATGAATTAAAGGGATTAATTTTATTCTAATCTCTGGCCAATACTGGCACATGGGCAAGACACATAATTACATGACACACATAAATCATTTGGGGGTTAACTCTAAGCAACTCTAATTATCTTCCATACTGTAATATTCTAAGTAATATTTCAAAAACATAACTCTTCCTCTTTATATCTGTCATGAAAATAATGTTGACTTTTAGGAGCGACATCTTTTCTTGATGGATTGCAAAACCCAGGACTAGTTAACCAAAGGTGATACCTAGCCAGTTGAAATGAGCTAAGAAGAGTCAGACCTTAAGGAAGATAAGTTGGTTTATTTCCTGCATTCACTAATTTTATGAACACAATTTAAACATTTAGTCCTGATCTCAGGCCCCAAATTATTTCATGTTAAGAGATGACTTGCAAACGACTAATTTTTCAAGTTGAGTTTTCCTAAACAATGTCAGCAATTATGATAGGAATAATTTTTGAAAAACTTAAACCTTTTTCAATAATAAAATTTTCTCTTCTATGATCACATTACTCATAAAATTTTTAAAGGAGCTTTATCCTTTACCATTTGGAAATCAGCACAGGCCCCTTAGCTCAAGCCAGCACAGGCTGTCATGCACATTTACCAGTCTAATAGTAATAGTAATTCTTAAAAGAGTAAACCCACTTTAATCCACCCATGGATTAAATCCACCCAACTCATTTAAAAGAGACCAACTTTTAAAAGAAACTATTTGCTTATGTAGTTCTTATTTTCAGGATAATTATAATAAATGTCTTTAGGTTTTTTTACTTAAAAAGGGAAATGAATCATTTTGAAATATTTTAGGATATTTTCATTCAAATTTTGACTTGCAGAAGTAGAAAAAGGAAAGATTGTTTCATATGTATTTTCCAGGCTTCAGTAAAATTGATCTTTTGAATTTATGAAAGAAAAGCCACTGTGTTTACATAGGGTATAACAAGAGTCTTAAATAAGGATTATGTTTTATTCATGCAACTTTACTTTCATTTTCATTTTAATATCCCTAGATTAACAAAATATTTCATTTTGAAAGGCTCTAGGGGAAAATGAAAAGCGTCTCATATTTTCTGGCCATTTCTGAGATCTAGTCTGACAGATTAAATCCCTAAATTGTTCCATGGAATGAGGTAGATCTAGTTAGGTAAGATGTGATGTTAAGGAATTAGCCTAGTTTGTTTCACTTTGTTTTCCTTTGAGGAAAGCAGAGTTGGTAACAGAAAAGTTTACTTGAAATTTAAGCAAGTCACCCTTTGGTTTTTCAAGCAGAAGTGTAATGAGTGAATTTGCAGAATTCCTTGCAACACACAAAGTTTTATATAATAAAGGTTATCTTTTGGGAAGTGCTTTTATTGCATTTTCATGTGATCTTCACAGGATTGTTGCAAAGAAGATATTACAATTAACCAACATGTAAATTAAAGATTGATAAGCCATTTCCTTTCCCTGTTAATTTGAGACACATTTAGATTAATTGAGACCTGAATGTTAAAGACTATTTTCCAAATGTTTTTTTACCATAAAACCAAGCACCACTACATTGCCCCCTACCAGACACACAAAAGAACAACGACAAGAAAGGTTGCAATCTTGGACAGTTTATTGCAAAACCAAACTTATGTAGTACCTTTATAACATCCTAATAGCATTTAGTGGTTACAGTTATGGACCCTATAATCACACAGTCATGGTATAGAATCCTGCATTGTCCGTGGAGAAGCTGCATGGCTTTGAACAAGTTTCTTAAAACTCAGCTATAGTTTTCTCATTATTAAATTGAGGATTATATTACTTCTACCATGGTGCTGTTTTGAAGATTAAAAGAGATAATGGTTTAAAATACCTAATTCAGCTCTATTATCATAATTAGGCTATGGAGAGCCCATTCTCTACACGGGAAAACTTCTCTACCCCGGAAAACTTCTCTACCCCAATATATAATTAATGTATACTTAAGAAAGCTGAATGTGAGTTAAGATGTTAAAAGCCTATGTAACAAATATGAGGGGAATATTTTCCCTCTTTTTCTTTCTTTCCTTCTTTCTTTTTCTTTCTTTCTTTCCCTCTTCTTTCTTTCTTTCTGTTTCTTTATTTTTCCTTTTCTTTTTTTCTTTTTGTATTTGTTTTTAGTACCTATCACCATTTTTTGCATAGCATACTAAGCTCTGTTAAATAACAATTTAAGTTTTTTTAAAAAAGCAATAACACTTTGGAATCTAACTGTAGATTTCCAGTCAGACAGTGACAGCTTTAACCCTACACTGTGGGAAGAACAGAGACAACAACGCATGACTGTTGCCTTTGAATTTGAAGAAAAAAAGGAAGATGATGAAAATGCTGGGAAAGTTAAGGTGAACCTTTTAATTTTTGTTTCCTCTTTCTTCTTATTATTTTTATTTGTTCATTGTTATTATTCAAATAGCCTTTGGGACTAATTGACTGACCTTTGCTAGAAGGTCAGATACATCTTAAAGTCTCATGGTGATACCTTTCATTATAGCAGGATGATGATTTTGGAAGCACTTTTGTGCTTCGGAATGAGACTAACATCCTGACTGAGCAAATTTCATATGCCACCCCATCTTACAGAATAGCAACATGAAAGAGATTCAAGCTGAGAGAAAGCCAAAAAAAACCCCTAAAAATCAAACAAAAAAGGCTGGGTGATGAGCTTCACCTTATTACCTCTTTGAAACACTGAAATGTGTTTTTTTTTAAATCACTGATCAAGGCAAGGCATCATGCAGACTGTGTGAAGCCAAAATACACATTTATGAAAGAACCAATGGATTAATATATTACATTGGCATTAAAATCTCAGAAAGATTCTATGTCTCTGGAATATTTGAGAAGACTTTATGAGTTTTCTTAAGTGTGAGGACAATTTTTAATGAAGGTAAGAGCCTAAGAGTAGGTGATGTCCCTTAGGGAAAATTATTTTCACCTTAAAGCATATTTAAAAAAATGCTTTATTGGCACTAATCTAAGTCAAGTAACAAGGTTGTAATTTTAAAATCTGTATTTTTACATTATATAAATTTGAAAATAACAGAATTTATATGGATTATATCAACATCAGGTCTTCATGTTATCATCATGGCAACATCTTGAATCTCTTGTCAATTTTTTATGGTATTATTTTTGCACTTTTTCCATCATGGATACTAACAGCTCTCACCCTTAGTGACTAATTACCTAAGTAATTGTATATGCATCCTATTAATAGATCTGGATTGTGTGATGTGTTCTTTTCTATCCCCTCATTCCCACATTTTCTAAACTTTTTTCTTAAACCAGCATACTCTAGAACCTTACTGGAATTAGTAAGGTAATTGACAAAGCCTACCTATATCATTGTGGAGAAACCAAAATGGATTCCCAAATCAAAATGACAATTATGTTAACGATTTGGACAAAAAAAATGTTTCTAAATGGTTGATTAGTGCTATCTAATAACCAAAGAGACATTTTTTAACTAAAAATAAATGAAAAAAGATCTTTAGAACATTTCAGTTCTTCTTGTAAGGATTTTATATGTTAAATCCAGAACCAATGGATGATGCATTCTATACTGGACCTCTGATTCATTCTTTTACTTCATTGAATGTCAAAAACTACATACTTCTTCCTAAAAAGAAACCTGTATTCAAAGTCTCCAAGAAGAAAAGAGTGCATTTAATACTGGTATATGTGTCATTGAAAGCATAAAATATAGCAAATGCAAACAGACATTTAGAAGCCCTGTTTGTGTGTTATGTAATCAAGTTTGATTATAATTAGAGTAGGTTCATTATACTTTAGAGTACATTTTCTCTATGTTTATTTATATTTGATTTATTTTATATATTGGTGAAATAATATGTGTTTCCAAAATCTCAAACTACTTGGTTTTGACCAATTTGAGTATTTCCAATGCCATTGGCTATTGGACAAATTAGAACACAAACAAATGTCTAAATAAATCATCATGGAAGTATGATGATGAATGGAATATGCCGAAATCTTGCACTAAATTAATTATACTTTTCTGGCTCATTACATGTACATTAAATTTAGCACCATTTTGCCTTTAATTTACATAAAATTTTAAAGGGAACCACTGACCTATGGCATCAACTTCCAAATAGACTAGAGTATAATGCCCTACTTATAATGTGTTTAGTGTATGAAAGTATGAAAGTTTAGTTTAGTTTAGTTTAGTATGAAAGCTGCATTGTGTGAAGAAATTGTGACCCTTTAGCTTCATGTGATATTGGTACTGTTTTATTACATAGAATTAAAACTAATTTTCTGATGGTTGTTTTAAATGCATTACCCAGAATGAAAAAAAAATATCAAGAATAGAAAAATGATAAAGTGAAAGTTTTGCTACAGTGCTCCTCTTTCTCCCAGAAAATGGAGATTCCTTCTCCCACAGGATCACTCCTGCCAAGCCCCCTGGGAAAGGGGCCAGCGTGGGATTACTCTCCAACCTGCCAGACTGTCTGGCGATTGCTGCACACCATGGGCCAGGTGTGATCAGCAGATCCAAGATATGCCCGTCCCCCAGAATGACCCACAGCTGGCATGGGGTTGTATAAGTGGCCTCCAGCAGGAAAGGAGCATGTGTACTCCATTGCCAGTTGCAGCACAATCCACCACTCTTCCCTCTCTAAGTGGCAGACAGGTAGGCCTAGGTGTCTGGGGTAGGAGAATCCCTTACGTAGAGGCAACCTTGGAACAGTGGTTTATGGGGTATGTTCTGCATGATTTGGGGTAAGAAATGTTGATCATATAGAAACCTTTCAATTGCCAGTGTTTGATCCCAGTTTAATTTTTTATTCATTGACATTGGCAATGGGGTGGGGAGAACTGAGCCAGAGGGGGAGGGAACATCGATATGATGTGCCTACTGGTGGGTTATCTGGCATGGTTTTTAAGCTGGGTGCTTCATTTTTATTTATGTTTTTATTTTTTAAGATTTTTATTTAAAGTGTGGGAATACCAATAGTTGGGCAGAATGTTGATGACACTACTGATGCAATCTAAATTGTCCCCAGACATACACACATTTTTTTGTAATATCAATTCTGAGGGAGATTAAATAAAACTTGATTCTAAAACAGCATGAGATTTGAATTGAAATTTGCTGAGAGTGGACTTTGAGCACAAAGATGGACATCTGTTGAAAAGCATCAATTTCCCTTTAATTTGAAGGCACAGATGATGAGAATTCCTGTAAGAGAAGATTGGCCTGGGAATTCTGGCAGATAAGGCTTCCTTATCTCAGTGGGTGGGGTGTTGAAGAGTTTAATGAAAAAAAATCTTAATGGGATGTGGAAGAACACTACATATTTTGTAAACCTTATCCACATGTAATAGACTAAATTCTTATTCTGTGTCTTATATTCTTTCTACAATATATGGCAAGCTGAGAATCCTAACTAAAACTGCTATAGGTTTCCTTTCTATGTAAAATGTTCCAATTAATTCCTAGAATAAGATACTTAACAATTAATAACCAAAGCATTAACTATTATTTCTCTTACTGGAATTTACAATCAAATCAAATTATAATTTAATCATTATATAAGAAAAGCATAGTTCTTTGTGAAATCAAGTTATCACTTCTAAATGCCCTAGCTATTAACATTATTTCTTTCTTCATTGCTAAATCTTTGGGAGTCTCCAACATCTTGCAGCTACTATTTGCATTTACTGCACTTTCTTAAGATCTGAGATATATAGAATGTTGTGAAACACTTCTATTTTCCAAAATAAAATAACATTTCAGTAAAAATATTGCATTTTAATAAAATGTACCTGTAAAATGAGCAAATACTTTATGGTGAGTGATAAACACAACATTTTGGTATGAACATAATTGACAAATTTTTCCCACCTATTACATATATCCCATATTAGAATAAGGGAATATTTATAGCCTATATATTTAGCAATATAAAGAAACTAACTGGGCATTACTGAACTATTAATATAATTGTGTTTATGATCATGGTTATTCATTTCTGAAGCATTTCACACATGCATTGAAAAATAGAGAGGCAAAACAACCTGTAAAAGTGTATAAAATATGCTTTTGAGAGCTTACGAACATAACAGAATTATAAAATACTATACTTTCATTTTTTTAATTATAAAATGTTATGTTAACTTTATGTTTTAAAAATTGAAATTATCTTATTTAACTCAATAAAATTCACACTTTAGATTTACACTATTTCTTCCACAAGATTGTACAGATATATGCTGCACCTATACTAGAGAATAGCTCTGAGCCAAGTAACACTTGTGAAGCATAAGCTTTGGACTTAGACCTGAGGTTGAATATGGGCATTGATTCCTGTAACTGTATGACCTTGAAGTAACTTACACCATTTGAGCCCCTGTTTTCCTTCTGTAAAATGGTAACAGATGCTACAAATGGGTTGTGAAATTAAAATGAGATTTAATTATAATTAATTATAGATTTTAATTAATATTATTAATTATAACTATTTATTATTCATTTATAATTAAATCCATATGGTAAATAATAAAATAAGTATTTTTTATTATATAAATAACTAATAATAATTAGTTTTATATATTCCTATAAAACACTTTGCATGGTGCCTATCACATGGCAGGTAATGAGTAAATGATAGTTATTGCTGCATGCAACCTGAAAAAAATCCAGTTACAAGTATTATAGTTAGACATATATATAATAAAACTAGATTGCCAAAAGACTCCAGATTCAAAAAATACATAAGAAGAATCTGATATTAGAAATAGTATCTAATCTCTGCATAGAAATTATACATTTTCAAGGGACTTCACATTTATTATATCATTCGAGCTCTAGATTAACCCAAGATATTATCATTCCCATTTTACATGAGTAGAAACTGGACAGAAAGATTGTGGCTGATAGCTAGTTGGGGGTAAACCTGTGGCTTTAATTTGGGTCTTCTGACTCTAAGTCCAGTAAATTCTGCTAGTAGACCAGTAAATGGGAAGCAAGTAGCTTATTGTATAGGTGGGACAAATCCAAGTTTTATGAGACCTGAAGCTTCCACAATTTGGAGAGGAGCCTCTTTAAGGAAAAGAATATAAAATAACCATGTAAATACATAAGTAGGGCCCCTCACAAGGCTTTGGAAAGAGCCCATGCGGGGACAGACCCTAAAGCTTAAGCTTCATTAGCTTAATGGCAAATCCACTTTTATTTCTACATTTAAATATTTTTACAGAGATAAAGTGCCCAAATATATTCTGGTGATGTGACCAAAATATAACATTAACTTGCTTATAAAATAACCAGAAAATATCGGTACCATGACCATTAGCAAATAGCCCTGTGTGTCAGAAGAGACACAGCATCTACAAAAATTAGATTACATTACTCGATATATTTAATTCTAAGAAAGAACACGTCCCAGGGGGCTTCCCTGGTGGTGCAGTGGTTAAGAACCCACCTGCCAATGCACGGGACATAGGTTCGAGTCCTGGTCCGGGAAGATCCCACATGCCGCGGAGCAACTAAGCCCATGCGCCACAACTATTGGGCTTGTGCTCTAGAGCCCGCGAGCCACAACCACTGAAGCCCATGCACCTAGGGCCCGTGTTCTGCCATGAGAGAAGCCACCGCAATGAGAAGCCCGCGCACCGCAACAAAGAGTAGCGCCCTCTCACCGCAACTAGAGAAAACCCATGTGCAGCAACCAAGACCCAACACAGCGAAAAATAAATAAATAAATAATTTTTTTTTAAAAAAGAACACGTCCCATTTTTTGCCTTTGATTCAACTTAGAAGTGTAGTTATAATATTGAGGATTGTTTAAGGTGTGTAGAATTTTAATTTAAGGACCTATTTGAAAGTTATTTTTCATTCATATTAAAAATTAAAAGATGTTCTTAATTGGCATAATAGTCACACCGTTCTACAATTTACATTTTTTAAATGTAGTTTTTTGACTTTTAAGTCCTTTGATATCAAGGACTTTTAAACAAGTTCAACAATATAATTTTTAAACTTAGATCAAATTTGTGATTAATATTTCTAATACCAATTTAAACAGCAGATCCAAGAATGCATTCATCCCAATGGATTTTGTCTAGCATGGCTATCATTCTTTTTATGTTTATTTAAGAATGCATTATAAAGTACCCTGAGATATACTTATATTACACTCTAATAACTTACGCTTTTGTTTTTTGGTAAAGTCTAACTTTTTTTCTTGGGTTATATTTTTGTAGCTTTGTTTCTATATATTATTAACTTCATCCTATTTGTTTCAGCGTATTAAAGATTAAATTACATTTCAATGAGATTTACACTAACAAATTTATCTGTTTTTTCACAAGCTTCCCAAAAATTTCTTGGAAAAATAATTTTGTAACTTTAGTTCTGAAAGGAATGTTAAAAATCATCTAGTGAAGTCCAATCCCAGTATTTGACATGGACAGAGAGCCACAGGAAGATGAAGTACTAGAATAACAAAGTTGGTGGATTTGCTAAAACTGCAGATGAGCAAAAGTGTTTGAATTCATATTTATAATCCTCAGATCTACATCACTATCATAGTTTCTTACATCCCATGTGTTACATAGGTGTGGAGGGGGTGGGTATGTGTGTGCCCCACCCTTTCTCTTTTTATCTCTCATCCCCCTCTTTCTTCTTCCCCTTTCAGCTTCTCTTCCACCTCTGCCCTCCCCCAACGCACCCTCACACACACTTTCCCCAACACATACTCACCACAATCACATAAATCATTCCATTTTGTAAAGTTGGTTCTACTCAGATTCAAAAAGACATGACTATTGGAATAAACCAAGCCAAGTAAATATGCCCCTTATTTTTCCTCCCATTCCATTTTAATCAGCCTGGATAATTTGTATCTATTCCATTTTAAGTATATTTTAAGTACTCTGAAGGGATATTCTGTATGGAATGTCTCATATTTTCTCTCTCTGAATTAAATGTGAAGAATAATAATTTATATATATATATATACATTCCCTAAGTCAGATTGATACACCAAAACTGAACTCAAGAATAGAAATAGGGCTTCCCTGGTGGCGCAGTGGTTGAGAGTCCGCTTGCTGATGCAGGGGACATGGGCTCGTGCCCCGGTCCGGGAAGATCCCACATGCGGAGCGGCTGCGCCCGTGAGCCATGGCCGCTGAGCCTGCGCGTCCGGAGCCTGTGCTCCGCAACGGGAGAGGCCACAACAGTGAGAGGCCCGCGTACCGCAAAAAAAAAAAAAAAAAAGAGAATAGAAATAAGTCTCTGGATAAGTATAAGCCAAAATTTACATATTTACCTAGAATATCCTAGACAATGTTCTAAATTTTTTATTTCTCTTTATTGTAAGATGTAACCTATAAAGCATGTTACTTTATTATGGTAAAAACTAAATATAAAAGCCTCCTTGAAGGATTTTTTTTTTTTTTTAGTTATTAACAAGAATTAGCTACCCTACCTTTTGATGTAACATGCTAATTAATACAGAGCTGGTGCATATTTGATGGCAGATACTGTCAACTCCCCATTTTTTAATACATGATAACTCACTTGTAAATCTTTTGGGGTCTTCTCCCATCACCTGCATTGATATTCCAAAGATATTTTTAATGTCAAAATGATTATTTTTAAATAATTAAGATAGGTAAGGGAACAGCCTCTAAAGTATAAAAGCAGCTGATAGTAACTTGATTAAATTTTTCAGAGATTACCAATCACTTAAGTGTTTGACCTACTGCTATTTCAACCATCTATAGAGTAGACCTAAACATAAGATGTAATCCAAAAATTGTTTTTAATCTAGAAAGGTGGCCAGGGGTGGGGAGAAGTCCCAGGAGGCAGAATGTGAAAAGAACACTGTGTGTTCTACTCTACAACACAGTTTTTCAGCCAGCTCAACACTCACTATATTGCATTTGGTTATACTACTGCACATAAAATGCAGTAGTTTTATGAACATGCTTACTGAAGGTATTTTTATGTTAAATTTCTTTTTATAAACTTCTAGGTTGAAATAAACCTAAAACGATATCCAACTCCTTACCCAGAGGATTTAAAGAATATGGTAAAATCAGTTCAAAATCTGGTGGGTAAGCCAAGCCATGGAGTGCGTGTTGAGAATTCAAATCCAACTGCTAACACGGAGCAAACTGTGAAAGAAAAATACGAACACAAGTGGCCTGTAGCCCCAAAGGAGATTACAGTGGAGGTATTTCAAGGTTATTGGTAATTGCCAGTGTGGTTTGGATTTTTTGGAATTACTAAATGATATGTTTTTTTAACTGAACAGATCTTCCTTGATAAGTGCATTTTTTCCTAATGTATAAATGAGTCTCTCTACTCTTCCAAACTATGAGGGTTGCATTTAATAAATGCACCATCATGGCGTAAAATCATTAATACAGCTCCAAAAGTTCCAATACACACAGAAGGAATAATTCGCTCACCCAGCTAGTCCTGGCCAGTAAGTGCATTAAATCATTTTCATGATATTCCTTTGACTACCCCAAACTTTTATTGTATGAGTCATTAGAAAAACCTAAATGAAGTTATTATTATTATTATTATTATTATGCAAATCTCAGTAAAATTCTTGATCAGACTTAGAGCCAATTTTTTTTAATGTTTTTGTGTTTGGGTTATACCCTTTATAGGAAACACTACTATATAAAAAGGGGCAATAACTTCGAAATTTAGCTTTACAGAATCTAATATGAAGCTTAGTTCCTATATTTTAGAATGAATTAGATATTCATCGTTATCAATTTGTGTGGTCTGAAAAGAATTCAACTACATTTATGCCACTTCTGTACTATTTCATCTACTCTTCAACTAATTTGCTTATCATCTTTTAATCTTCATTAGAAACATAATTGATATGAGTACATCTAGAAGTTCCTATACCTGCTGCTCAAAAATCTAGGTTGACAAAACTCTTTTACAAATCTGCGTTCAAAGCATCAGTTTTTTACATTAAACACCAACTGTATATTTAGCACTGTGCTAAACACTGTGAGAGAGAGAAAAGAAATATGAAATGTGTGACTAGCCCCCAAATAATTGAGAGCCTAGCCAGGTAAACTTAACACAGATGAAGCCATTAGAGAATGTATTATATAAAACATGATAACATCGTTGGTTGTGTGATGGAGAATATAATACTCTAGGAAAATGGAGTGATAAGCAGTCACTGCCAGTCACTTTAAAAGTTATGTGAAATGCTTAAGATTGAACTGCATATTAAAGATTAGGTGATTCTTTTAAAGTCAAAAAGAGAAGAAGGCATTCTAGGCAAAGAGAAAAGAAAGCTTAAGCAAAAATAAGCGTGGTGTGCATATCTACCCGTGAAAGTACAAGCCTGACCCAAAAGAGAGGAATATAGCTGGATATCTAGGGAAGAAAATTTAAGTAAATATTTATTTTCATTGCTTTTTTCATTTTGCTTAAAAAACTCATATTATTGTACTTTTTCATCTCTAAAACATTACAGATATACTATAGCAAAGCAACATACTTTTCTTTTGTCTCTAAGATACTGCAATAACATAAAAAGGAGGAAAACTAACATTTAGTGGGTACACCCTAAATACACATACACTTTATATTTATATCTCATGTCATCACAGTTTAACATCAAAATAACCGTAAAGTCATGATAACCCACAAACTGAATAACTACTGCAAAATACGTAGATCCTAAAATTGCTTAATACAGGGATGGGAGAGATGAGACAAAGAAAAGATGGCTTTGGTCATGAATTTAATAATATCCCAATAGTAGAAAAAAATCTTAAAATTGTCCCACAAGCACTTCAAACTTAACAAATCCAAATTAATTTTAATGTTTCCTCCTCAAACTTGCTTCTGCTTCAGTATAATCGGTCTTGATCTCAGCTGGCACCATTATCTACCGGTTCACTCAAGCTAGAAATTTGGGAGGCATGTTGATTTCTTCTTCCTTTTTTCTCCCCACTCCCTGCCCCTTCCAATCACTAACTCCTATACATTTTCATCTAAGTGTATCCCTTCTATCTCTTCAGGTCCTCAACTCTGTCCTGCATTTCTGTAAAAACTGTCAATTTCTTGGCTTACCTTGTCCCAAACCCCCTCATTGCCTTGCTAATGATCTTTTTAAACACACATCTAATCTTGTCCTCCTTAAAAAAAACACTATAGTGACTTTGTATTGCCTATCTAATCTTCTTAATTTGCTAAAGTAGCCAAGCTAAGTAAGATTGAAGCTCAACTATCAGATTCATATTTATTTCTATGATTCGCCCCACTCTTTCTTAGTTTTCTTCATCTACTAGCCTTTTCCTCTTGAACAGAAATTTCACTGATAATATCAATATTTTTTCTAAAATTGAGATTTTAGATCTTCTATGCCCAACTTTTAGCCATCCTAGGGCTAGGAGATGTCCTTTTCTGTATCATCCTCCCTTCTCACTGCTGTATCCAAATTAAGGGGCCCTAATTCTATTCTACTTCCAGATATAATAAATACAAATAACCAAGTGTCTAGCTGATCAGTGTATACTATGCATTTTTATTATATGTTTTACCTGCACCTGCCATTTTTGGGTCATCATTATTTAGATCATGCTACCAAGAAGGTGGAAGAGGGTGTCACACACTGTATGACATATTTATCCATGTTGTTAAATATGGAAAACCAAGAAAAAACAAACAGAGGTAAGCAGAAGCAAAAGCAGAAAACAGAAAGAAGAAGCAAGGTAAATAGGTTACAAATGCAGCAGAGAAAGAGGGAAAAGGAAAGATATATCATTTATTGATCACTTTCTATTTGCAACCCTATGCCAAGAGTTTTAACATAGAGAATATGGCCAAGAGAGCCATAAGAACAAGGAGGTCAGAGAGACATGAAGGTTCTTCTCTGCCCCCATTTTCCTTCATACATGCCTTGTGGAGATTACATTTGTTTTTCCCCCAGTATCAGTCCATTTGGATGGCTATAACAGAAAACCATAGACTGGGTGACTTAGAAACAGTTTTTAAGGAGCCAGATTTTATTTATATGTAAAAATCAAAGCCTATGAGACTTAAAATCAAAATTTCAAAGGCTCAAAAGTATCAGGCGTTAATATACAGTGATAGCCAAGAAATACCTAACAGTTCCAATTATTATCGTTAGGTCTGAACAACTTAGTAAATACTTATGCCCCACTTAGTGGTTATTTGAAAAAACAATACACATAAATTGAAAGAGAAAATAATAGTTTTAGTTCATTCTTAAATAACCAAAACTACTTACTCATGGAACGTGTGCACCTGTTGGACACCATCTACCTTCTCAAACCTTGGAATCATATTGGGTACTACAACTCTAATTTCTGTTTCACATTGATTTTCGAGTGGCACTTGATTATTTTTTATCACAGCAACCACCAAAACCCCAGATTCACACAGACTATTAAGCAAAAGAAGTGTGCAATCTAATGTTGAAACTGAGAGCTACCTCAAGGTAGCAGTTCTCACAGTATCTGACTGATGTCAAGTATTGCTTTTTTCCCCTCAAATATTTAAAATAACCCATGTGTCCCTGTGAATTAGCAACAGCACTGTGAGTGCCTCAAGAGCACAGTTTTCAGAATGGGGGAAAGGACTTAAGTGTAGAAGACATGAATTCAAAGTTTGACTCCACCTTATTACCAATTGTATGACCTTGACAAGTCACTGAAACCTTTCTGAGCCTTGGTTTCTTATCTTTAAAAATACAGATAATAATAACAGTCTTTCAGAGTTTTTGTGGAGATGAAATCAGATGAAAATATTTATAGCAGTTCTGAGCACAGTTCGTGGCACAGAGGAAATCTTCAGTAAATGACCATTCCTTTCCCATCCACAAGAGAGGAAGACCCTGCCACATTCTCCTTTAATACTTCTGTGAGTTGCTAGCTTGCATTAACCACTTTCATAAAGGAAGGCACTTTTCCATTTCTTAGGAGACTCAGTCCAATTTCTCTCTGTAGAGGAATCACATCTTTCTCCAGGAAAGGGAGAATAGTCAATTACCCTTGAAAGTTTCCTTAAAAGCTTTTATTAATGCCTTTATTTATTTTGACTCGAAAGCTCAGGCATAAGCTTTCTTCCCCCTTTGACTTCTACCTTAGGCTTTAGGCTCCCTTTCACTACAGCAGTATCAGCCAAGATTTAGTTTGACCAGTGGAAGGGCAATGGGGTTAAAAAAAAAAAAATTTTACCTTTTTTTTCCCCCTCAATCTCTGTCCCCTCTCCAGAAAAAAATATGGCTCAATTTACTTATAATGGGAACTCCAATAAATTTGATTCCCTACTAGTAACTTCCACTGTCTTCACCCATAGAAGTAGTCCCAAAAGCTTCACCCACTTTTCCAACATGAACTTGATTCTTCCAGCTATTTATAAAAGATTTAATAGAGGCAAAGCCAGTCATTAATTTCCTTTGTTGGATAGTTAACTTTGTTATGTGAAGCCCATTTGAGAAGTGAGCTTTTCTTAGGATAGACAATATAGCATATACAGTATCCCATAGAAGACCTTCAAGAAGAACAGATTCCAGTTCAAATCCCAGCTCTACCACCTATTAAGCTTGTGACTTGGAATTATTAGCTTACCTCTCTGAACTTCCATTTCTTTACTTGTAAAACAAAGGTGATAATAATAAACAACTTAAAATAATAAATAAAAATAAGATTATCATTTAAATAATCGACAGGGATAAAATAAAGTGTTTAGCATAGTAACACAATAGTAGACAGGTAATAGATTCTTCTTAACTGATGACCACCATCATCATCATCATCATCATTATTTTGCTCATAAAGATAAGAGAGTCTAACTGGGTCAGTGTAAATCCATTACTCTTGCTTCAGTAGTAGTCCTCTACCTAGGTGGAGGGCCACAGAATTCTAGAGAAGAGATGCAAGTTCATGATTAGCTGATATCATTCTTCCCAGTCATGAGGGCTCTTTTTTGATTCAAAATAGAAATTCTTGAGCAGCATCAGAAACCAGAATTTAAGTCAAACTATAGCTGCCATGCAGAGCTCCAGTCACAATTGTGAGATACAAGTGTAAATGTTTGATCTATACATAAAAGATAACTTGAGTACCGAATGTGTAAGGCATAAGTGGAAAAAAAAGTAGTGAAACCTTTAACTATATTTACATTTCTGTGCTTATACAACTATTTTGTTTATTTGTTTTTGACTAAAACAAAATGCTTATACTTCTATATTAAAATGTTATAAGAATATTTCCTTTTTAAAATATTATTTCAACAAATAAGTTATATTGATATTTATAGAATGTTAGTATTAGACAGAAATTTGCACTAATTCTTATTATCTATTACCCTCATTTTATTGATAAACTGAATAAGATCCAGAGAGTTACAGTGACTTGCTCGAGGCAACCTGATTAATAAGTGGTAAAGCAGGAATAAAACAAAAATATGCCACTTTGTAACTGAAAAATTTTTGAAAGTCTTAACATATTTTATGCCTTTCATAGTACCATTTCTCAAACTTGCATCTGCTTCTACTTAATAAATGTCTCTAAAGATGTGTGAAGGCTTTTACTCTATTCTCTCAACTCAAAACTATATCCAAAGTTTCTTATGCTAAACTTTTGAAATAATTTTCAAAATCCATGAAAACACAGATTTTCCTATTCATCTCTGGAATTTCCATCAATCCCCTTCTCTTTTCCATTCCTCTTCAAATATATACAATACTGCATGTTAAGTTTCTAATATGCTCAAGCTGAGCTAACCAGGAGGCAGCAATGTAAGGGATAATCATCAGACTAGAGCCCAAAGGAATCCTACCTCCATGCTGGATCTTTGTCTACTTATCTATGTAAGCCTGGGCCTCACTGAGTCTCAGAATCCACCTCTAGGAAATGAAAGGATTGGACTAGATGATCTTCCAGTCTTCTCCCACTGAAATATTATTTTTTTTAAAAGTGTCAGATATACCCAGGTTTGCGGTGGTGGGCGGGGGTAGGCAAAATGTATAGTAAGAGTTTCTATCTGATATTACCAACCAATTAGTTATAAGGCAGGAACCATTTCATTATTATATTTTGTCCTCAAGTGTATTCTTTCTCCAATTTAACAAAATACTTCTAAATGTATTACATTAATGTTCAAACAAACAAGTACTAATGAATGAAAAAAACTGAAAATTCTTCTTTGAATTCAAATTGAGTTTAAGGGGAAAAGACAGAAAGATAATTGCTGTGCACAAATTTATATCACTACTTACTCCTGAGCATAAACAAGCCATTTTTATATCTAGAAGGAAGTGAGAATTTTGCTTTTCCTAATGTCCTCCCATTACCTGGTTAACCGGGAATAATAATTTGAATTACAGAAGTTTAAAATTCATCGGTTTTTTTAAATATGCTTATTTGTCTTAAAGTTATATTCTTATACCAGTGTTGCTCATTATACTGAGTGAAAGGATGTAGAGTGAAGATTTAGCGGGCTAGATTGATCATGAGAAAACTAGAAACCTTTGGAAGAAGGCATGGTAAAACTAAAGAAACTGAGAAGATCACTTGGGATACAGTAGGAATTAAGAGGGAGATTGGCAGTAAAAGCAGTATTTATAGGGCCCAATTGTGCATTAACTTTGTTAATATTTGAAAAAAAAAACTAGTTGGTCAGTAATATATTCCTCTTAGAACTCTAAAACGAGTTCATTGCTTAGAACTCTTACATATTTATATGTTATAGATTATATATTGTATTACTTATATATGACTTATTATAATTCAGTCCTGTTTTATGAGTTATATCTATCTCCCTAACTAGACTGTAAACTCCCACAGGGCATTGGTGACATTTTGTCTTTCTTTGGAAACTCCACAGTTCTTTGCACAGTGCCAGGCATATAAACGGCTTTCAAAAAATGTCTGATGAATAAATGGACTCATTTAAATTAGAAAAACAAAACATTTTAGGGCTTACCTCAGAGATACATATGATTCACTTCTCCTAGTGTGCCACGGTGAATTAAATTCTGGAGTCCCTCTTGTATCTGAGCCAAATAAAGATATTGCCATCTTGGTTAACCAATGTTTAAATGTTTACTTTCCTTGTCCTGTATTATTATATCTCTCAGGATTCTTTTGTTCATCCAGCTAATGAAATGAGGATTGGGGAACTTCACCCTTCATTAGCTGAGACCCCTCTGTACCCACCCAAACTTGTTCTGCTAGGGAAGGACAAAAAAGGTAACATTGTGAACCTGATGTGGAAAATATGCCACAAATGCATGTGCATGATGAATCACCAGTTGTAAATTATGATATACCATAGTCTATAGAAATATTTTATAAATATGTATCTCTAACATTCATTGGTATGCTGTTTTTCATACTTGCCTTTCTGTGTTTATACTTGTCAACGTTCACAGCATTATAATATTTTCCCGTTTACATTTCAGAATCAACCGATGAGTCTGAAGTTGACAAAACTCACTGTCTGAATAACAGTGTTTCCTCAGGCACTTACTCAGACTACTCACCTTCCCAGGCTTCCTCAGGATCCTCTAACACCCGGGTTAAAGTGGGGTCCTTGCAGACAACAGCTAAAGAGGCAGTACATAATTCTTTGTGGGGTAACAGGTGTGTTTAGAATTCCCTCTTTTCTGTCCCCAAATGCTTATTTTCAGCAACATTTTAAAAAAATGGAATCTTCTTAATTTGGGGATTGTATTCAGCACATGAGTGGCATAGAAGACAGAGGGGCAGGTAAGCAAATGTAGTCCCCCTGGGATTTCCAAGAGTGGATAAATCCATTTTACACAGCAAAACCATTGTTTACGGGAGTGAGGGTAGTACATTAACAGGTTGAGATGATAGAACCAAAAAAAGTTTTAATTGAAAATCAAAAATTGTGTTTGCCTCAGTACATAATTGTGACACATTTGGGCATTCACCATCCAAAATGGTGTTATGAATTAAAGAAAGATTCATGGAAAGCATTAATGTGCCAAGTACAGAGTAAACATTCAATAAATTTTTCATCAGCATCTTCATCATCATCATTTTATCACCACCTGGAAAAGTTAGAATGTAAGTAAAAGTATTTAATCCTTCCAAAATGGCTCCTACTCTATATTACTTCCATTTTACAGACATATTAAAATCAAAAGCCATGGAGGTCAATAAAGTGACTCAATGAAGTAGCATTTACCCAGTGCTGGTTCCCTTGTTTTGTAACATGTTGCTATGTTTCACAGTACAAATAGCAAATAAAAATTGTCATATGATATAGGTAGTCATGACTTTCACTCAGATTTTACTGATAATGTCAATACTGTTAACAATATATTGTTTGGTAATTGATGAATAACTATTTCTACTCATTGATGCCCATGATAAAAATCTTAACTCTTTCAGTTTGTAAATTTATTATTTGTTATATAAGCTGAGACTGATTTAGGTACTTTTGGAAGATGCCTTCTAAATGCACTTTTTTTCAATTAGCAAAAGCCCTTAAAAGTCTTTAATAAAAGATATATAATTCAATATCATTAGTGTGCAAACGGTTTAGAATAAACTTAGAAAAATGAGCATCTTGTAGAGATACTGTGGTCACCAGAATAAACATGCCAATGACCCGAACTCATAATTTAATTTAATTTAATTTACATTCTAGAAAAAGATATGTGAATGCATACACTATACAATGGATTTAATGTCTTCTAATACCTGACCCTCAAATATGTTATTTGAAGAAAACTTGGGTTCATTAGATATAAGAAGCATTGATAAGAAATGTACTCTCAACTAATAGTTTGGAAATGTACTGAATCAGAAATTCATGGAGACCAGGAATCAGGTAGCTCTAATTATCGGACAGGTTCAGGACCATTACTAAAAATAACTATATTTCTTTCATTCACTCATTTATTCATTCATTCATTCATTCAACAAATATGTACTTAGTACCTACTATGTGCCAAGCACTATGCTAGGCCTGAAGAGAAAAAACCTCTGCCCTCATGAGTTTACATTCTAGCAGAGGACACAAGACATATAACAGGTAAGTAAACTGTGTATATTAGAAGGTAATAACTGAGAAGAAATAAAAGTTAGAGCAGGGTAAAGGAGTGACTTTTTTTGGACATGAATAATAATGCTATCGTTAATCATAATTGAGGTGTGGATGAATGATCAGTTGGACAAAGGATGGTGGTATTCTTGCCTGGTGTTCTTTCTGGCAAAGACCCAGATCTTCCTCATTTTCATGTTTCTCCTTCCCATTGTGTTCACAGGATTGCACAATCTTTCCCACAGCCTCTTGATGCAAAGCCATTGCTCAGCCAGCGGGAGGCTGTCCCCCCAGGGAATCTACCACAGCGTCCTGACCGGCTGCCATTGAGTGACACTTTCACTGACAACTGGACTGATGGCTCACATTATGATAACACCGGGTTTGTTGCAGAGGAAACCACAGGCGAGAATGCCAACAATAATCCTCTCCTGAGTTCAAAATCTAGAAGCACATCTTCTCATGGACGCAGGCCTTTGATTAGGCAAGATAGGATTGTTGGTGTTCCCCTGGAACTTGAGCAGTCTACACACAGACACACACCAGAAACAGAAGTGCCTCCTTCCAATCCTTGGCAGAATTGGACCAGAACCCCTAGTCCTTTTGAAGACAGGACTGCTTTCCCTTCCAAATTAGAGACAACCCCTACCACCAGCCCATTGCCTGAAAGGAAAGAACATATAAAAGAATCTGCTGAAATACCTAGTCCTTTTTCTCCAGGAGTACCATGGGAGTATCATGATTCTAATCCCAACAGGAGTCTCAGTAATGTCTTTTCTCAAATCCACTGCCGCCCAGAATCTTCTAAAGGTGTTATTTCAATTAGCAAAAGCACAGAGAGGCTTTCCCCACTAATGAAAGACATCAAGTCCAATAAATTCAAGAAGTCACAGAGTATCGATGAGATTGACATTGGTACATACAAGGTTTACAATATACCATTAGAAAACTATGCTTCTGGGAGTGATCACTTAGGAAGTCACGAACGACCTGACAAAATGTTAGGACCAGAGCATGGTATGTCCAGTATGTCTCGAAGCCAGTCAGTCCCGATGCTGGATGACGAGATGCTCACTTATGGAAGTAGTAAAGGGCCACAACAACAAAAAGCTTCCATGACAAAAAAAGTCTATCAATTTGACCAAAGCTTCAATCCCCAAGGAGCAGTGGAGGTTAAAGCTGAAAAGAGGATACCGCCCCCATTTCAACACAATTCTGAGTACGTGCAACAGCCGGGCAAAAACATCACCAAGGATTTGGTTAGTCCTAGAGCTTACAGAGGATACCCACCGATTGAGCAAATATTTTCATTTTCTCAGCCATCTGTTAATGAGGATGCTGTGGTAAATGCCCAGTTTGCAAGCCAAGGTGCCAGGGCAGGCTTCTTGAGAAGAGCTGACTCCCTGGCGAGTTCCACAGAAATGGCCATGTTTAGAAGGGTCAGTGAACCTCATGAGCTGCCTCCGAATGATAGGTACGGCAGACCTCCATATAGGGGAGGTCTGGATCGCCAAAGCAGCGTTTCAGTGACTGAGTCCCAGTTCCTGAAAAGGAATGGCAGGTATGAAGATGAACACCCTTCATATCAAGAAGTGAAAGCTCAGGCGGGAAGTTTTCCAGTTAAAAACCTTACCCAAAGGAGGCCATTGTCTGCAAGAAGCTACAGTACAGAGAGTTATGGTGCCTCCCAAACCAGGCCAGTTTCAGCTAGGCCTACTATGGCAGCTCTTTTGGAAAAAATACCATCTGACTATAACTTGGGTAACTATGGTGACAAGCCATCAGATAACAGTGATATAAAGACGAGGCCTACTCCTGTGAAGGGAGAGGAGAGCTGTGGTAAAATGCCTGCAGACTGGAGACAACAGCTGCTTAGACATATAGAAGCTAGAAGGTTAGACAGGGTATGTTTGGCATTTCTCTGTAAGAATATCCCTCCTGCCTTTAGTTTTACTTTATTGGCATTTCTAAGCACATGTAGTGAAGCATGAACTACATGAATGAAGAGATGATCAGCATTTTATTTATCTTTATATTGTGGGGAAATTGATCATAATAGTTTTTCATGGATACTGTTTGATGCTCTTTGAGAGTTCATAACGTATAGGTGAATTATTTATCAAAACTATCCTAAATATGGTTAGTAAGAAAGAATTTGACTCTGTCATATAGGATAGTGCTTCAATTGCTTTCTAGCCATTAAGGCAAAATGCATCTCCTAGGACACAAAACTGTTCTCTAGTGACCTAAAGAGTATGATTTTTATTGAATCTATAAAAAGTGAGTATTCTAATCCTTTCTGCACAGACTCACTTATATTAAAATCAGACCTAATTTGTTTATACAATTTGCATATAGTTACTGCTATGGGACTACTAAAGTTATTACTTCTAATGAGCAATAATCTTCTCAGCAAGAAACAGAAAAATAAAATAAGCAGAGATTGAATGCCCTCCTATACATTATTTTATTCAATGAAAATTCTGCCATTTAGAATGTTGCTTTTCATATAGAAAGAAATGGTTAAATTCAAATCATACTACAGACAACAAAAATAGATGATGTCTTTATAAAGACTACAAATGTACAAATTAGTGTGTATATTGCAGCAAAAAGGGGGGGACATTAATCTTAATGCAGTTAAAAATTGAATCACAACAAATCATGAAATGCATAGCAATTGAGGAGAGCAAAAAAAAAAAAACTTGTATAAGGCCTAGAATTACTTTTTGTTGTTGTTTGTATCTCTCTAAGAGAAGTCTGCATTTTCTAGAACTATGATCAATTGACCATCACCACTGAGTGTATTGATACTTTGCGGCTTTGGTGTAGAGGGCTTTGTGTACTCTGCATTGACCTTAGAATCTTAAAAGTCCTTTTTGTGAAAATAGGGCCTTCTGTTCTCATTTTCTAGATTTAAATGCTCAGTGTAAATTGGGGATCTGGTTAATAATATACCATTAGAATGTTTCACACAATAGTTTTATTTTATTTGGTGTCCTGCTAAAAGCACAGGTCACTGCATTTATTATATATTTTCTTAATGCTGAATTTTACGTTTTCAGGTGTACTCTTTTAAAATAATTATATTGTTTGTAGGTCGTGTCTACATGACAAGAAAACAATTATTTATAGGAAAAGAGTAAACTAATAAATGTGGGTGTGGGTATTAGTTTCTCAATGTGGAAACTGGTTCTGCCTTGCAAAATATTTCATCAGAATGTCTGTTTCAAATAGGTGTGCTCAGTCCCATTGAAGGGAGCCTCATCAAAGCCTCATGACTGGCTGTCAGTGGGAGACACCTGGTCGGTTGTCACCATGCCTTACCTCAAGTTATACCCTCCATGTAGACAGATAACTTGGAGGGCGAAAATATTTGGGGCCAAATAAAACAGTACAGTTTGGGAACTCTGGCCTCGTGTAGACACGACCATACGTAACAGGGTAAGATGAACTAGCCAAGAAAGGTTATAAGAAGCTTTTTGGAGCATATATACAATGACTAGTAATTTGAGGCAACAGAGGAGTGAGCGAAAACAAAGCATGAAAAAGAAAAGACAAAATTTTAAGCACTTGGTACCATCATTTATTTACTGGTTTCCCAAATAAATGGTTCCTTTCCTTTGATCAGAGCTACTGAAAAGTAGGTGACTCCTCTAGTTGGAGCAGGAATTTGGAGAGAGGAAAATAGGACTGGGGAAGGGGGATTTGGATCAGCAGAAGTCTGGAGGCCCTGCCTGTCCCAGATCCAGATAACTAAAAGTAAATTTGTATGTATTTTTCCATTCCTGTGACAATACCTCCCTTTTTAATTAGTCTTCACATATCCTCTGTCTTTATAATTCCCTCAGTCTGTCTTTCATTTTTCAGAGCAATTTCAATGTATATTCAATAGCTTCTCATTTAATTCCATGAAATTAAATTACCTTAGAGTATTGCTTCAAGCTATCAAATCCTGAAAGCTCTTCCTCTTTTCTCCAAGTAACTTTTCTTTCCCTCTCTAAATTGAGTAACTGAGCTATTCAGGCTGTATCTTACTTAAAACTTTAAACAAGATAAATTCAGGGTGCTGGAACACAGAGTTGTTATGTAAAAATAGTTCTGTACTGTTGTTCTTAACATTCTGCCCAAAGTCAGATTGCCCCAGATACAGTGTTCTTCCTTCCAGTGAAATTTAGTTGAGTGATTTGAACCCTGGAAATCAAATAGTTACACTAGAAACTACAAGATCTTTGTCCATTCCTTATAAAAGAGAACTGCCTAGAAGCCTGGACATTGGATAAGCTTAAGTGTTCTACGTAATGTTGGTTAAAGATCTTGCTCGGTGTTGACCTTGGAGAGGCAGCTCCAAGTACTACCCTAGATTAAAGATGCTTGTTTTCTCCTTTGGTTTTATCTCGAGGCTCATGCTTCCACTATAGAGCCCCAATTTGACTGAGAGAAATGAAAACATGAACCCATATATCTAAGACTGCTACTCTTCCATAAGAGCTGAGAGAGCCCTAGACTGGAGTCATTTTAACCCTTAAGGAGTCATTCAAGTGCTAGATTGAAATGTTCAGTGTCCTTTTCAGTTTTGGCATGGTGACAATGAAAAACAATCTCTGGATGAAATAATCAGGGATCCATAACAAATATGATTAGTAAACAGCACACCATCAGGAGTATAATAGTCTTTCAGTTGATGGAATTCTGTTGCTAAAAATCATTTCTTTGCAAATAATGCCCTCAGAATAGAATAGATGCCTGCTGTTAATGTTCAATAATATTCAGTTTTAAAAAGTGTACTAAGTTAACTTCTGTAGTTTTTTTTTTTTCCAAATTAAGAGAATTACTTAAAAAGGCCAAATGCTGTCAATTATTACATGTCCATGATAGGTGGAAAGTAGAGATTGTACTGATGGAAACTATTTGATGACAGGGTATACAAAATGTTTTAATTTTTTGTTGTTGTTGTTGTTGCGGAGCACAGGCTCCTGACGCACAGGCTCAGTGGCCATGGCTCACGGGCCCAGCCGCTCCGCGGCATGTGGGATCCTCCTGGACTGGGGCACGAACTCGTGTCCCCTGCATTGGCAGGCGGGCTCGCAACCACTGTGCCACCAGGGAAGCCCACAAAATGTTTTAATTTTTAAATGAAGTTCTGTAGAAAAAAACAAACTACCTATCAGACACTTGGAATAACTTTAGATGCACCTACTGAAGGGTAGCTACTATGCAAATATCACTAGAATGTTCTATAGGTATTTAGGTATATCAGATAAATAGCATTAATAGTTCAAATCATAGTTCCTTTAGTTTCATTATGAAATTTTTCCAGTTTAAAATGTAATTTTTTAAGAAACAACAAAAAAGTTAGAATATTTGGATTCACATACAAGTTGACTGGTTTAACTAAACTAATACGCAAATTCAATCATCCACTGGTCAGATTGACTGATTTTTTTGACCAGCTCTTTTTTCTGAGTTGCCATAATTATGCCTATAGACAGAGAAATAAAAGCAACTGATTTGGGATTTAACTTTTCAGTGTATTAGTTTTAAGGCAGAATTATAAGCTAAGCTAATTTGTATGTGCTAATCTTACAATGTGAAAGAGACCATGAGATTTGCAGCTGACAAAATTTGATTAAGACCTCGCTGTTTGAAATTTTTGAATTAATAGACCGCCACTGATGTACATTTGTCCATAGTCACTACAATCATGATATATAAGAGATAGATTTTATGCCTTTGAGTTAGGAGCAAATGTACAACAAATGTTATCTTTGCTTTTTGTCTTTTCTGTAGTTTTGGATGGTACTCATTATGTGCATAACTAACACTGTTTACTGTATGCTTCTGTCTGATCAAGTGCATGTTTAGAAAAGAAAGTTACTGTTTGCCTGCTTTAAGTTAAATGTTATAAATTTAAACATGTTCATGTAATAATCAGTTTGTTGAGCATGTGTTCACATCCTGTCACATGATTATTTCCTCTACTCAGAATGCTGCTTACAAACACAGCACAGTTAACCTTGGCATGCTGCCCTATGGAGGTATTTCAGCAATGCATGCAGGCAGAAGCATGACTTTAAACTTGCAGACTAAGTCTAAATTTGATCTACACGAACTACCTCTTCAGAAAGTAAGTATGGACTGCCCTACATGTGTCAGCATACCAAAGCCAATTAATGTTGTTTGTTCACGTAATGTGTTTAGGCTGTACATACAGCCCTGCTTATAGACTCTCAGGAGTCCAAAAAGCACAAGGGCAAACAATGTAGAGCCCAAACTCTTAGCTGCTAAATGAATATTTATAGCTAGATTGATTATCAGGTTCCTGCTTAACAGCTTTGCTTTTTGGATTGAGCAGGTACATGGCTTTTTGTGTTGCTTTAAGACTCATTTTTTCTTATTATTCATTTTCTTTTTCTTTTATTCTTTGCTTCTCTTTCTTTTGTGTGTGTATATGTATGTATTGATATATACCATTTTTTTTTTTTTTTTTTTTACTTTTTTGGAAGACCACCCTATATTCTCTTGCTGATGCATTCTGAGAACAGAACTAGAAATTATTACTGGATGGCACTGGCATAAAAACAGACACATAGATCAATGGAACACAATAGACAGCTGAGAAATAAACCCATACAGTTATGGTCAATTAATCTAAGTCTTAAATGTACCAATGAACTAGCTATAAGTAAGGAATTCTCAGAAGAAAAGATTAAATAAATGCTGGTTGAGTACAAGAGCTGAGATAGAGAATGGATGTGAACTACAGTTTTAATCCTCATGAAGTGAAAGAAATAATAAAAACAAAAGAACAAAACAAAGACACACACACACACACACACACACACACACACACAAAGAAATTATTATTGGATTTCAGTTGATTCCTTTGGAAAAGACATAGAGTCCTAAATTAGAATGAAAATTAAGTGGTTGGCACTTCTAAATATTTCTTTAGCCCATTTTTTTTGTAGGAAATATTACACAGAAGTAAAACATGAGAAACAAATTTGTAGCTTAGCTAGCAAATTTTTACTCATCCTGGGTTAATGGAAAAGTGGAAAGTTCACATGATTTTAAATGAAAATGTAGCCTTATTTGAAAGAGAATATACTGTAAGAGGAAACATTTCCATTGTCAAAGGACCGTTTCTGCTTGTTTTATTCAGGCAAAACAGAGAATACACATTTTACCTGTTTAAATTGACTAATGCACTCTTAGTTACCTTTTGATGGAAACTAATGAGTCATTTTCACACAATATGTCATTATGACTATATTATTAATGTAGTCATTAACCTAGTAAATTTTTACCAAAAAAAAGCAATGCAAAAGTAAGGATAACAAAATGATGGTAGCCTCCAAACACTCTTCTCTTAATCAAATTAATGAACGTATGGAGCAAACTCCCATCCCAGGAAAGTGAGTGTTATATGACCACAAACTCATGTTTTATTGTCAAATTAGCCTTAATAACAGCTCCTAACTCTGTATAGTTTGCTTCCTACTCTGAGGAGAGTAATAAAATTAAAGAGACATTTAAATTCACAGCTTTTTTATCACCCATGATCACTTTGGGGAAAAAACAATAAAGCTAACTTAATTGAGAACTTTTGAAAATTATTTTCCTTGTCCTCAGTCTCCTGTTACAGGACCAGTATTGTGTAGGTAACTCTCTCCAGGGAGAAAAATGACTGATTTATGTCGGTGATAAAACACTCCCTCTCTGGCCAGTTTCAAAGTAGTAACTTGATATCACTGAACTCAAAATTGGCACTGAGAATAGTCAGCTCTCATGAGCTAGTACAAGTCAGTGCCAGCACACTACCATCAGTGAGACCCTTTTCACTGGAGCCTCTAGTCTGTTCTTCATGTCCTCTTAGATGCCCAGGGCTTTCATCTTCTGCCCTAACAAAACCAGTGTTCAAAAAGTCTTGAAACTTATCTGCGCTAAGAAACAGACGAGCTATCACAACTTAAATAGACACCTTTCCTGGAGAGCTTGGTAATTAAATAGAAATCAAACCCTTAAACTACAATCGTAGAATTTCAAAATACAGTGAGCAGATTTGAGAGATCTTGGTATGAAAGAAGCTATTGCTTAAACCCCTTGAAATTATATCATATGGATAACCCCTATTTTGCTTAGTTTTTAGCCCTATTTTCTCATCAATCTATAGGATAATATAGATATATTCAGTGTCTGAAAAATGGTAATACACTTGAAGCACTGTTTCTCAATGTATAAATTATTCTCCAGATATAAATTAGGTACCTCTGTGTTGCTATATTAATTTTCTGATGTTTTGGGGGGTACCCTATAGAATGGATTCATTAACTATTACTATAGCTCTAAGATGATCTGTAACAGAAATATTGCAGAGTTATATTTGGAGACATTGCAACCTTACTCAGTTGGGCACAGAGATGACCTAAAGGAATTCTTTTTGGAAACTACCTTAAATTGCAAACCAAGAATAACTCAAGTATGGGAAAGAATCTGAAAAAGAATATATATAAAAAATATATATACATTTTTGTATATATATACACACACATATATATAGAACTGAATCACTTTGCATACAACTGAAACACAATATTGTAAATCAAGTATACTTCAATATAAACAAATAAATAAATAAATAAATAAGCTGCCATCCAGGCCCCCCTAAAAAGGAGTAATTCAAATATTGAAATAGTCTATCTCAAAATGAATTATCATCAATACTTTATTACACACACCAAAAAATAGATAAATAAAAGGGAGAAGAAAGAAAGCAAGGGATGGAAATAAACAGTCAGGGCAACTACTCCATTGCCCCCCAAAGATTTTATGACCCAAATGATGAGTTTAAGCCCTGTAAACTGTAGACATTTCAGCATCTGGGCAACTTTGCTACCTTGTTGCTAGTGCAGGAACATCATCAGGTGTGGTTACTGGTTGTTTAATCACTTTCAAGACTACTCCATGCTCTACTTCCTTTCATGGATTCCAATCTAAGTCTCTGCCCTTTTGCCTTTGTGCTAGGTATATCTCTTCTGCAGAGCTCCTTAATTTGAAAATTTGTTTGGTTTTTCTGCCAAACTTTAGGGTCAACCTCTCTTAAGGTGCAGCCTTTCAGATTCTCCACTAACCATTGATAACCGGTCCTATGATTGAGGCTCAGATTCCTGGAGCCCTTCTCACCAGGAGAGGAGATAGACAAAAATTATTTTCCTTTGATTTACAAATACATAAAAACCTATTACAGCACTTTCATCTTGCCACTTAAGATAATAAAAATTAGTATCAGCTATTTAAGATATCATTACAGCCTCTAAATGATTGTTAGCCATGAGAATTGCACTAAAATATAGACTAAGATCAAAATAAAAATATTTCAGTAGATAAAATTGACAAAAACTGTTCATTCTCCTGTGAAAATCCTGGAGCTATCTTTTTATTCATAAAATTCCTGAATGATAACACTGGCTATCTCTAGTTAAGTACTGTGGTAAATGACTTTGGGGTGTCCTAGAAAGAATAAATGAAGTGTCCTAAGGAATCTAAATGAATGTTTTCACGTATTACCAGTTAAGAACTGGGTATGGAGTTGCAGCATACTTTTGTATAGGTGGTGCCCTCCCCAGGGAACATTCAGGGGTTGAAATCCAGACCCTTTCCCCACACCCTCTGCTGGCAAGACTTAACCTCTTGTAATTAGAAGAAAGGAGCACCTTTTTGTATTTTCTCTGTTACACTGAGATTGTCTTCTTGCAAGTTATGTACCCAAAGAGGGCACCTTTTTGTGATTCCTACCTCCCCATCCTTCCATTATGGTAATTGACAAAAGGACACTACCTGAGGTCCTGACTGAGCAAATTATTTGTCTGTCGGTTTGGATTTTTTTTTTTAGACTACCAAAACATATCTAATATTTTTTTCTCAATTTTCTTTTAAACAAATTTGTAATAAACTACTTAAAAGATATAACTATTTTTGAATAAAGATTGAAGAACTCTGAACTTGAAGTATTTACGCAGCGAATATTTATGTGGATAAAAAGAAAAGACTCTCCCAGATTTTGCTATGTGTTTTGAATATTTCTATTTTTTCATATTTATTATATTCCAGGTCGAGTACTGTACATTTTTCATGGACTACAAGCTAAATATAGTCTTTCTGTATTATAGATAGTAAATTATATTTTCTATGGTAATTTTACAGAACCTGTTTTGATATTAACAGAATGCAAATCAAGAAAACCACAAAATTAGTTTAATAAATTTAATTTCCTTTAATATTTTCATCTTTTGATGCTTACTCTAATAAAAAATTTAATAGTATTTATAAATAGAACATCTAAGACATATAAGTCAGCTATTAAATTATAAATTATTAGTATCTCTATCTATTTACTTATTCATTCATTCATTCATTCATTTATCCATTTGTCATTTATTCACTGCCTCTCCAAAAAGCATTTAAGACGACTTTCTATGACGTTATTGATGGTTCAGTGTGCTTCTTTGGATGTGTTCTGTTGTAATTGAGCTTAGCTAATGTCTTGAAATTTTATGTTATCAAAGAGAAATATAATATTGTAAAATGTCAGTTCAAACTGTCATTTTTATTATCCAGATTAATGGTAGAAAAAATAAATATTTTGATAGGAGAAGAATAAAGACTAGGATTTATTGGAAATCTACTATATACATAGTACCATGAGATACTTTAATTTTTTTTTTTTTGCACAACCCTCACAAAAACCCTGAATGGAATTATTTCTCACCATTGTATAGAAGAAGAAACTGAGATTCATGTGTTACATAAAAGAACTCAACTATATTTTCACTGTTTTACTGTTGTAACCTCTACACCTAGCATGGTAGTAGAATTTGAATCCGACTCTGCTTAGCACTCAAGTCCCTGCTATTTCTTGTATATGATGATGTCTTCTCAAATGTTTATAAAATCGGACATTTTCATAGACTGTAATTCATAATAGTTGATAAAGCTCTTTCATATACATAATTATATTATCTTCACAACAATCCAGAAAAGTAGATCTTATGGGATGGAGAAAAGAATGCACAAGTAGAACATAATAACTAATCTAAAATACATCATGACCCAAATCATCCCCTATGTGCTACAGATACAGTGCTCTCTTATTTAGCTGATCTTAATAAATGCTAGTAGTTACCTTGCCCTCTTTAAGATCCACTTGCATTTCCTGAGCACTCAGTAGCACCAAGAAATATGTTTGGTAGCAGGAAAAGACCAAAGGTTTTGAACCTAAGAAAATCACAACTTAATCATCCATAATACTCCTGCTCCAGAGACATGCAAGGCTGGGAAAGAAATCCCTGGCCTTTTCTAACTCCCCATCTGCAGGTGTCCAGCTGCCAATATAAATAGTGTGGTCTCTTCTACACTGGAGAAATTGATAATTTTTTTCTTTTTTTTCTTTTTTAACTTTTACCAACATATTATTACACCATAGTACCTACTGCTCATTGGCTTATTGAAACAGACACTAATATAAATTACAATTTCAGAGGAAGGGAAGTTGAAATTATGGAAATATATGTATTCAATGATCTTTTCATATAATTTTGCCTGGAAGAAGATGGCCTCAGTATCTGTTTTATTAGTTCATACTTATTCCACCATCTTTAGAATTAGAGTTTTAGATAGCAATGTTTGCACCTAAATTCTTTTCAGATTTCTAATGTCCTTTCTTGTAGACCTATGCAAGTGACTCAGGATCAAATAGTAACAATATCTGATATGCATTCGTTCACCCTAGTTCCAAGGGTTACTTACTTAATTCCAGTTTTGTTTTGTTTTGTTTTGTTTTGTTTGCTGAAAGCAAAGCAATATTTCTGCAGCACCTTGGGGTAACTTATGCCTATAGTTTCTACTGATTTTGCTACATTTATTATTGGCTACCTATTGCTCAAGAAGAATTCACTTATCTTTCTAATTATGAAAAAAGCCTTCAGCCTGTAAATCCACATAAATCCTCATAAACAGTGATTAAAATTACCAAAATAAGCTTAGTACTTGTACAGATGCTTCCCTACCAATATAATGAAATACTAGCTTTAAAATAATCTGGACATTACATTACCACCTTCAGACTGAACACTGTGAAATCATAATAATTAAGATCCAAACTTGGTGTATATTTGTCTTTATAACCTACTCTTTTCAAAAAATATGCAGAAAAAGAATAATTTCACTGAAAATACTTTGGGGAAAGTTGTTTTCACACATTTTTTTGAAGCTGTGGTAATGGCCTCTGTGAACCATGTGCCAATTACTAAGCAAAATAGATCATTGAGTTCTTAAGGAATATATCCCAAGACCTTTGCACAGTGCCAAATTCTCATACCACTCTCATATAATCCCTCCAACTAAATGCCATAAGTGAATTTCCCAAGCTTTCAGTGCACCCATCAATTAACAGTCAAGAGCAAAGCTACTAAATCAGCTAAGCTCATTTACTCATATATGTGAATCCTCTACATACACATATCCTCACATATGGGCACACATAGGCATACCTGCATGCATACACTCATATACATGATCATGCATACACAGATATATAGAGACACATATTCATGCACATTTATGTCTCAACAAATTAGAAACTACTTCTTCCTTCCAGTAGATGCTTGTGATCATTCACAGTAGTCAAAATCATAAACATTAAATCTACAAATGTCCACAGTCGTCTTTGGGATTAGCATCTGTTCAGCAAAACTACTAGCATTACTGAATTTCTTAACAAATATAATTTCTGACTTTTCACTAAATCACATTGACAAGTTTTTCTTTTATTTTGAAATATTAAGGATCTACAGAATTTAGAAGCTGAAGAAATTGTATATTGTGATGATTTTCCACGTATTTTATATTTAATTGGTCATATGTGGTGAGGAAAAGACTAATTCTTAATCTTTTGAAGTATCTAAAGAAAATAACTAGAATGTGGTACTAAAGATAATTGAACCTCAATTTGCTTATTTTCTTTGAAATAATAAAATTCAATAGTGACAGTTGCTCCTTGTAACTTTTCATAGAATTTTAACAACTAAGTAACTGCATTTATGTAAAGTTCAGGAGTACTTTATCAGAAGTTCATTTTTTTGTAAATAGCTATACTCACTCCTTTTGAGAAAGAATGTGAACCCACTACATAATTCTCTTTTGGGTTCCTCCTTCCCAAACATTAATAAACTGTTTTCACGGTCTATTTTTTGCAAACTTAAGTCACCCCTAGTGTGTCTCACTTCAGAAAAACAAAGAGGCCAGAGCATTCTTGAAATTAATAAAAGAAATTGCTTTCAGGAAATTCCTTTAATTTTGGTGTCTAGTCAAAGTATTTTTTTCACGTGTCTGCATGTTTATGTTCTCTTTGGGCCCTGTAACATAAAGGAATTGGTGCGGTTGTTAATTCTAATTTTAAAAAGAGAGAGATTAATTGCTAAATTAATGAAGAATCTCATTATCATGATATTAGGATTTTGACTAAGGGTTTTAGCCTTCTTTACGTTGAAAAGAATCTTGCAGTTCTCAGTTGTTCTCTGAGTAGGAGTCATGTCTGGGCAGCTGAAGGGAGTTTAGTGGAGGAAATAGAGATGGAGATAAAGATGATATGGAGGAAAAAAAGATTATATGTGTTGAATTCTGACCACTTCTCAAAAATCTGTGTTCCACAGACCCAGCTTGTTAAATATATTTTTTATCCCACTTCATTGGCAAAGAAACCAAACCAGAAAAGACATGAGTACTAAAAATTCAAAAAGAAAACTGTCCAGTAGTGCCTGCCCTGCATAATTATATTTTAACTGCTTAATTTTAACAGTTTGATTTATCATATGCTAGAAAAATCGTGTGTGAGCATATGCAAACATTAATCTCTAAAAGGTAAAGACTAGAAAATTAATGCTTGAAATCAGACAGATGGTCATCGAATAGCTGGTTATTTTCAAGTAATATATACTTTAAATATGTTACCTCTATTTTATTTTCAAACAAACACATGTAAATTCATTCCTAACTAACCCAGGAGCCTCAATTCAGTACCTTTGTCCTCTTTTTTCATACTTTGTGATATGCTCATGAAAAAGGAATTCACACGGCCAAAGTCAAAGAAGAAAACTGAATTATTTCCTTACTTTTCACTATATCCACTAGACCCCAGGAAAGTTTCATCTAATTTTGTTTAATTAATCTTGTCATAATAAATATTATTTTTTAATAGTTCCAAGCAATGTTTTTTAAAAATGCATGTAGTCAAAATGCAGATAGGGTGGTTATATAATTGTTTTCTAAAGGAGAACAATTAGGAAGGAGCACTCCATATAACTGGATGAAGCCTGGCAAGCAGTCCATCTGCGCCATGTTATGAAGAGAATGGCCCAGTTCCCTCATTCCAGGGTTGGAGGACCATTCTTCACACAAAGAGCTGCACATACACTCTCTAACCAGGCTTTCTTTATCCATAGGGATCCTCCAAAACATGTGGAGAAAATGGCGTAGGAAACATTGAGTATAATATCTCACCACATAAGAATTCCCCAGGAAATCAAGCAGTACTTGTATATCCCGTAGGTCAGAGGAGGAGAAAGCCTATGGGAAAAGTTAATCAACTTCGACAGGAAAAATATCCCATTACTGTATCCCTCCACGGGAGGCCATCTTTCTGATGATGTATGATTATCTTCTGTTACTCAGGTCAGACTACAGAAGCCTCCCAAAATATCTAGTAGTAATAACAATAAATACAGGAGTAGTATTATTTGTTAAAAATAATAAGCAGTAAATCAGCCAAAAATAAAATATATATGAAGAGTGTAAACTTTAATGCATAAATGATCTATATAAATAAATTTGGAATCAAAACAATTATGATTTATTTACACTGAAATTCTAACAGCACAATATTTTTTGATGTGTTAATCTTTCCTCTAAGCAATCTGTAGATGTCATAGTGCCATGAATCTCGCACTATGCTAGTGTTAATACCACTTTGGATTAGTGCAAGACACATTCTCCCAGAATCAATACAGCCTTATAAAATTTGTTTTAGGTTATGGTTTGGAATATTGGAAGTTACATACTATGTATTATATGGTTTCAGTTTATATTCCAAATGGTAAGATCACACTAAAGAAACAAATGAAGCAACTTTTAAATGTTGTAGTTTTTAACAATTGGTTAATTTTATCCTGATTATTTTTATTCCAGTACTGTAAATTTAAACTTCTCTTTAAAATTCAGTAAATAACTATAAGATGGTTATTTTAATTGAATTTCTCACTGCTTCCAAAAAGCTATTAATTTACAATTCTTACCACATAAATAGTGTATAATAATACCTCCAGTTTAGGATATATGTTTTTCTGTGATTAAACAAAATTAATTTTACCATAATCATGAGGGACTCTTTTCAGAAAACTATGATAAACTTCTATTACATCACTAAAGAATGCCATACCATTTTTGCAATAGACCCCGTCCCAGCAAAGCAACATTTTAGACAATGGACAAGAAGATGTATCTCCTAGTGGCCAATGGAATCCTTATCCTCTTGGGAGGCGGGATGTACCTCCGGACACCATTACTAAAAAGGTAACCAATTTCAAATTAATGACACAAACCATGAATCTTGCATATCCATTGTAATATGTAATCCATATCTTGTGTCTTAACATCACTTCTAACTTTGTGATAAATTTAGGCTAAATACTATCCCACAATAGGGAGTCTGGTTAACTGTAAGTGCATTGAAAAGAATGAAAAGTGAACATTGCCAAATGCTCAGAGCTGGTAATGAATTTTTATAAACAACATCCTGCCACCTCTCTGAAGATCTGTCACCTCTTATTTGTGTCTGACACCCACCTTTGAAGTGCAACTACCGTAAATTGTGTAATGTATACTTTCTGACTCTGTTGGATTCAGCAGCATGGTGTAGCCAATTTGCATAAAATGAAATTTAACCACAAAAGATTGATTCACCATTTCTAAAGTCATAACAACTCATTCATCCTGTCATTCATTCATCAGACACTTAGTGAGCAACTGTATGTGCTAAGCAGCACTACTATGTGTTGAGTACTTGCTAGATGTTAGGGAACAAAAATGAATAAGATATGGTATGGTGTCTTACCTCTAGGACCTATTAGTCTGGTGAGGTAGGTTCAGTGATAAGTAGGTAATTGTAATACTTCATGTTAAATCACCATAAAGGGAGCAGAAAGAAAGCTATAACCGAGAAGATAATTGCAACATATATGAGGGACAAGAGATTTATATTCTAGAATATATTTTTTAAAACTCCTACAAATCAATATGAAAAGACATATAACACAGTACCAAAAGTATGGTAAAATACAAGGGCATCAGGAGAGTAAATTAACATTAAAATAAAACTGAACCTTTTTATCAATCAGGGAAATACAGAAAAAAATGCTATTTTATACCTACTGGACTAACAAAAATTAAGAAGTATGAAAATATAAGTTCCCTGCAAGTATAAGAACAATGTAAACTCTATACTTCTTGTGGGAGTATAAAGCACAATCACATTGGCAACAAATTATCTTATAAAGCTGAATATGCATATACCCAACATTCCAATAATTGCTCTCCTAAGATATCCTAGAAGAACTCTTGTGTATGTCATTCAAGATACCAACACGTACAATGGTAGAATACTGGATAAGCCTAAATGTCTATCACAAGAAACGTGATAAAAAATATTCACACAAGGGAATACTTTACAGCAATGAACATTTGTTGGCTATAATTAGGATAATGTGTATAAACTTTAGAAGCATAGTTTGAGTGAAAAACAAGTTTCAGAAGATGGCACACATCAAGAGTTCCATATTTATAAATCTCAAAAACAAGCAAAACTAAAAATATATTATTTAGGCATAAGTATATGAGTGAGAAAACCTTTTATAAGGGAATGGTTAACATAAATTTAGGATTATGGTTATCTCTAAAGGGGAGGCTGGGGGTAGAATCAGGGAGGAAACTGATATTAGTTTTAGTACTGTTCTGTTTCTTAAGCTGAATTGTGATTCTTACACTCTAGTTCTTAAGCTCATAAATGTTCATTTTATAATTGTGCTTCATAACATATACACTACATAATCCCATACTTCCTTTGTAACATAAGTGGTGATTTTTCCCTTGATAAATACTTCAGTGTTTTTTTTTGTTTGTTTTGTTTTGTTTTTGCCGTACACGGGCCTCTCACTGTTGTGGCCTCTCCCGTTGCGGAGCACAGGCTCCAGAAGCGCAGGCCCAGCAGCCATGGCTAACGGGCCCAGCCGCTCAGCGGCATGTGGGATCTTCCCGGACCGGGGCACGAGCCCGTGTCCCCTGCATCGGCAGATGGACTCTCAACCACTGCGCCACCAGGGAAGCCCTTCAGTGCTTTTTTAAAAAGATATATTAAATATCAAATTATTTTACCCCAAATAATTGTTAATATTCTGATTTGCAGGTGTTATACACGTTATTAATCTGCCTATTGTGCAATATCCAGCACTGCAGATATAGTCCTGTGAAGATGGCTAGGAGAGCACCTGGAGAGGACACCAGTTTAGTAAAGAAATTAAAGAAAGTTAAGAGAGAAGGGTGGCATAAAATAAAATTAGGAGGATAAGCATAAACCAGATTATGCTGGGCTTTATCCTGAAAGAAATGGGAAGAAGTGTTTTAAACAGGGAAGAGACATCATTAAATTTTCATCTAAAGAGCACTCTGACAGCTTTTCAGGGAATGATTTGGGGAGCAGAAAAACTAGAGGCCATGGAATGAGTTACAAAGCTTCTCTTGTAATCCAAGGGAGAGTAGACAGAAGCAACGGGTGGTAGAGAGAAAATGCAAAGATCCAATATATTCTTAAAAGGTAGAGCCAATGTGATCTTGTGATTGACTGGACATGGGGCCTAAGAGACAGCTAAGAGTTCCAAGACTAATCCCCAGGATTCTAATTTGTATGAGTCATGATGTGCCATTCACTGAGATGGGAAAGCAAAAGAGTAATAGGTGTAAGTGGAGGAGGGGAGGGAAGTTTAAATTTTAAGATGTAGATTTGAGGTATCTTTAGGAAATCTGAGTGGAAATTTTTAGTGGATATTTAGATATATTTTTCTGAAGTTCAGGAGAGAAATCTTAGTTGGCGATACAAATTTAGCAATCATTAAAACATGTCATAATTGAGTCGTGAGTGAGACAGATAGATGACACAGAACTCCACAGAACACCAACATTTAAGGCATGTCCTTAGAAACAAGAACAGAGAAGGAATGACCAACGATTTTGTCAATAAGTTTCTTTCTACCACAAGTTATAGAAAATTCCAGCCTTGAACACTAAAATATTTAGCTAACATAAGAAGTAGACAAGATCTAGGGTAAGGCTCAGATTAGTCTTCAGTTAGATAATTTTAAATACTTAGGTTTTTTTTTCCCTCTCCACTCTTCCATTCATATTGTTGGCTTTATCCTAAACTTGGTTCCTTTCATAATTATCAGATGGCTACCTATAGCAATTGAAGATAACAAGCTTCCTCCTTCTAATCCATCAGGAGAGAGAACCAAGTTTCCCATAGCTGTCTCTTACAAGCAAAACATTTTTTCCCTAAATCCCCCCACAAGCCTCTTTTTACATCTCATTGATCCAAAATAGCTAAGGACTTCTCACCCCTAGCAAGAAGAATGGAATTATATGATTGGCCTTGACTAATCAGTTGGAATAGAATAGATGTGCTTTCAACTCCAATGACCACTAAAAAACCGTAGAAGGAAAAACAAGGAAAAGTGCCACCTTAGAAATCAAGTAGAAAAAAATGTTTAAAGGAGGGAAGGGTCAACAGTATCACATGGTGCAAAAAAAATCAAGCAAGGTAAGTGAGTAAAGGTTCCTTGGCTTTAGTGACAAAGAGGTTATTGGTGGTCTTGGCAAAAGTAATTTACTAAACTTACGGGGCAGAATCCATAGGAACCTACATTAAGAAATAGAGAAACTTTAAAAAAACTCAAGAAAGGAGTTTCCTTTTAAAAGGAAAGAGAATTACGGTAGAATCTGGAAGGGGATATGAGGAAGACAGAAGGAATATTTAAGATGGCAAACACCTGATTACATTTAAAGGCTGATGAGAAGCGATTGGTGAAGAGGAAGTTGGAAATCTCAGGAAAGTAGGGAAATCTGCTTCTTTATGAAAAAAGAGGAGATTGTGAATGTGATGGTAGGAAATTCAAGGAGTACCTATCAGAGCCAAGGGACCCTTACATAACCTAACCAAAGGAGAGAACCATAATCACGTACTTAGTTGGAAAGGGCTACTATAATTTTCCCATAAAAGGAAAAGCCTTATTCATTTATTACTCTAAATGGAATTAACAGGTGTTTACATTATCCATTCATGCATCCATTTTACATAAAATCTATTTTCAAAGTCCATAATATTATGTTTAATCATATCATCAATACAAATCATGATGATCATTTGCTTGCTTCTCTACTTGCTTTGAGAACCCCATGCAATTCTGTATTGATCAAGCATTTGTGAGCTAGTTATTCTTGTTAACGGCTAAAATAATTGTTTAATCTATCTGAAAATTTCAGTAGCCTTTTATAAGTCTTGTCAAATGTGAAATAATGTAATATGTATTTAAAATTTTACCATGTCTTTCATGTGTAAACTCACTTACAGCTTCTTCCTACTATCATAAGCATTTTCTGACTACCCTATGTTATAACAATTTTGCCTAAAATCTGAGACTTTAGAACCTAATAATGGATATGTTTACCTATTACATCACAGAGTAAAGAGAATAAAGAATGCTTTAAATATTCAATTTTAGTTTTTTATTATATATTAATTGAGGATATCAAGTTAGAATTCTAGTGAGAATCAACCTAAGGAAATGAAAATGGCAATGGGATTATTAGCCTGGGCTGCTGGATTTACCAAAATAGGGGTGAACGTTGTACTATTATTCTTTGAGTTTATATTTTATTCTACAATCAATTTTTTTTTAAAGTCAGTGTTGGTTTTGCCATTGTCCTGAAGTAAGTAGTCATTAGGCTAGATAGGATGAGAATGAAAAATCAGAAATTAAACTACAAATGGAACGTGGAATCAAGGATAATAAGTGGTGAAGAAGTCTTAGTCAGTACCCCATTTGAGTCTGCTTCTCAAAGTCTCTGCCGAAGATTCTTTAAATCTTATCTCTATGCGAAGGGATACTACTATGATGCTACTATTAGGATACTACTGTGTAGTACTAGTCCTGTGATACTACTGTGATCAGAAAGTACTGTGATGCTGCAGAGATTCAGTGGGAAATCCATCTTAGAAAGACTATGATTGAACTTGTGGCTCTCTGTTCTAGTTATTGTATCTTTTGAACTAATATTGGTAATACCTATGGCTATGCCTAGCAGTACTCCAAGCATTACAGGAGAGCAAATGTGGGTACCCTCCAACCTGTGGATCCAGAGGTTTAGATATATAAAATAAACAAAATAAGTTCATCTATCAGAAAGAATTTTGCTCCTGTATCCACCATCATTGTTCTATGTACCTGAGAGTGGCTAATATATGG